GTTTTCTGTCCTCATTCGTGTTTCCTACCTCTTTGTTGACATTCTCACTGAGATCAAGTATCCTTATCACCAGTGTTTTAAACTATGCATCTGGTAGATTGCTTGTCTCCATTTTGTTCTTTTCTGGAGCTTTGTTCTTTCATTTTGGGACATGTCTGTCTCCCCATTTTGGTTGCCTCCCTGTGTCTGTTTCTATGTATTAGGTAAAGCTGCCATGTCTCCTGGTTTAAGCAGAGTGGCCTTATGTAATAGGTGTCCTGTGGGGCTCAGTGGTGCAGTCTCCCTAATCACCCGAGCCAGGTGCTCCAGGTATGTCCCTTGTGTGGGCCTGCCTGTTACAGTTGAGCCTTGGTTGCTGTTTGCATGTCAGGCTGATTGGTTGTGGGGACTGGTTGTGACTACAGTGGAGAATCTGTTCTGCAGGGGCTGACCTGACAGAGCATGATTTATTTTAGCAGGCTCTGGTGCCTGCCCAGTCTTCCCTTTGGGTGTGTCTTTTGTGAAGGTGGTTAGGTGGTGCGCTTGTGTGGTCTGAAGCTGGGCCTCTTTGGATGGGCTCTGTGGCAGGCCAAGTTTAGCTGCTGTCCATGCCCTGCTTGGGCCACTACAAAGTGGTCTGCACGTAGATGCCACTTGTGCTGGGCTTGGAGGTGCCTGGGAGAGGCTAAGCTGCGAACCGAGACCAGCTGCTGCTAGTGCTGGATTTGGGGCTATTTAGCAAGAGGTAGAGAGCATACTGAAGCCAGATGCTGCTTGTTTGTGGTTTGCAACCCCTTAAGAGATTTTTTAGAAATGTCTGCATCATGAGCCAAGAAAGGCCATTTGTATGGAAAAGCCACTGGCTTGAGAAGGCCCACAAATTGGGTGGGGTCTCAGGGAATCACCAGGGCAGAGTGAATGGTGTTAGCTAGGTTGATGGAGACTCAGACATGGCATCCGTTGGACTCTGCACACTAGGACAGGGGAGGGCTCGACAAAAGAACAGTGGCTTCTGTCAGCATTTCTGTCTGGGAGAAAGCTGCCTCTCTAGCCCTTTGCTGAAGGCAGACAATTCAGTTCCTCCCCATATGTCCCTGGTGCCTTTCTGGCTGCTGTCCCAGAACTGGAGCTCAGAGTGAGTAAGTCCATGCAAGGCCCTTTCAGAAGACGTCTGAGACTTTAGCTGCCCTCTGTCTCACTCAGCCATAATCTCTTCTGGTTTCTGCAGCCAGAAGTCACAGGGACTTCTATTCCTGGCACTGGAGCCCTGGGCTGTAGAGCCTGTTGTGAGGCTGGGACCCCTTACTCCTTGGGAAGCAGGGAGCGCCGTAGCCGAGCTATCCCTCCCAATTCTCAACTGGCTGCTTCTGTATGTCCCCAGTTGTAGAACTTTGATTTGGCTAGACTTCGGGCAATTCTCAGTGATGGTTCTTCTGTAGTTGTAATTTTGATGTGGTTGTGATAGAAGCCAAGCACAGCGTTTACTTGCTCTGCCATCTTGACCAGAACCCATTTTTTTAAAAATTCTTTTTAAGGGCAAGGTGGCAAACTCTTCCAGTTTTATGAATGTTGTTTAAAGGGTGTGTTGTGGATTGGGACCAGCACTCTAAAACGAGGAGCCTCCTGGCACCACTTCAGTTGTGCAGGGGACGGGCTAAGCCCTTTTTTGTACTGAGGCTGGTCAGATGGTGTTAGCTGACCTCATATCCCCCAAAACACACTGCTGCACTTGGGGCTATAGCCCCATGAGAGACCAATAATAGCTTTAGCATCTTCACCAGGCTTGTGGGATTTTTATAGCAATTGGGAAGACAACTTGGTAGAGAATCCCAACTTCTAGAGTAAGTAAGTAAACCCCAGGTAAGCATTTTCTTCTTGCCCCAGGACTGGCTTCAGGCCTGCCAGTGCTGAACAGGAAGTGTAGACAGGGAATTCGCTCTTCAGTCATGTAGAACAGGCCAAATGTAGACCACTGCCTGTTTTTATGACTTTCTACATTTTTAATGGTTAAAAAAAAAATCTAAAGATTTCATGACATGTGAGAATGATATGAATTGCAAATTTCAGTGCCCATAAACACAGATTATTGGAGTGCAGCCACACCCATTTGTTTATGGCTACTTTTATAAGGATAGAGCCTGCAAAGCCTAAAATATTTAGTTTGTCTCTTTATGGCAGAAGTATGCCAACTCCTGATATAAAAGGTCCCTCCCTACCCCAAGAGCTAATCCTATTACCCTTTCCTGCTCCTTTCCCTCCAAACTTTCTTTTCCTAACTTAACACATTTCCTTTCTTTAGCCAGGTGGCACTGAAAGTTCTAAAGTTACAGCAAACACCAGTAATCTTATGTCCACCTGGACACAGTGAGCGTGGGACTAGACTGTGCTAGCAAGCCAGAAAGAAAGAACCTAACTTCTGAAAAATTTATGCTGTTTTCCACCGAGTTTTAGTATAGTTGCCTTAAGTCTTTAACTACTCTTTGACAGTTTTTTAAATCATAGAAAAGGACGGTCTCATAGCCATTCAATTCACATTCATATAAATGCCAACTTTTAGTGGGCTCTTAAATATAGCTTAATTTTAAGAACACAAAAATACATCTAAGTAAAAACCCATGTGTGGAAGATAGTTACATATAAGAAGTATTCTCTAAATCTTAACCAAATGCAAATAGTAAGATTTTTCAATACAGGTAAAAATCAATACCCTATTCCTCCATGCATTTCACAAATGGCCATCTCGGGGGGCGGGGGGCGGCGCTCTGGGAACGGTAATGAAGACTAGGACCAATAATTATTTGCTACACTTATAAAATTCAGCTGATAAAAATTCATTAACCTTATGATTATGGTTCACTTGAGTTTTATACTTGAGGTTTTTTACTGGATAAGTGCTATATTAAAACCATTAATCTTTAACTTCCTGTTCTAGTAAAGAATCTCTAATCCTAGTTCTGTTTGGAATTACATAAAACATGGAACTTTTAAGACTATACATTTATCATCATCCACATTTTTATAAGGCAGATGGCTGCCAAGGGGAAAAAATATTTTCTCAGCCTTTCTTGTAAAGGAGTTGTCAAATTCCCCTGAAGGTAAGAGCCAGGGCCCCGTTTCCTAGACAGCATCCTACCTGCCACCCAAACTGGCATTCGCAAAGTTCTTAATTGTAATATGGCTCCTCAACATCCAGGTTGGGCTGAGACTGGAGTTTGAGAGAACCCCAGAGACACGTTGTTCTCGACCTCTGAAATCCTGAGTGCCGCGCTGGTTTTGAGAGGAGCTGGGGAAGAACTCGTCACTCCGCATGTGCGTAAGGCTGCTTCGCCCTCTGGGTCCCCTCCCCTCCTCCGCCTGCCAGTCTCCTGTCTCCTCTTTCTCTTCTCGTTTCCTCCCCTTTTCCCATTCTCTTTCTTCTCACTTTTCCTCTCATTGCAACTTTCACCTCTCTGCTTCCTCTCCACAATCCCTCCTCTCTGTCTCTTCTACTTTCTCCTCTCCCTTTTCCCCTCCTAGCAAGCTCACTAATCACTCAGGTGCCAGCACTTACCAGGTGGTACGATAATGTGCTGGAAAAAAGCAGTGGATTGTTTAAGCCTAAAATCCAGTGGGAAACACTGCAGAGGCGGGAAAACGAGTGTGCATGAACAGTCCGCAGAAAGCCTTCCAATACTGCCTCAAGGAACTTCCCTGAGCCTTTGGTACTGACGGGCCACAGAAATTGATTTAGCCAGCAAGGGATTTCAAATTATTTTACAGATTTATTAGTGTAGCTGACAACATAAGCACAACTCGGTGACAGATTATCAACATTATTATTGTAAATAAAGGAGGAAAATCCTCTGCTGTGCACTTGGTTTAAATGAAGTATTACGGGGAGGGAGGGAAAGATAAAAGCAGAGGGGGCCTGCCTTTGTGGTGGAGGCCGTCAAAATGCAATGGGGAGAACTCACTGAAACGCATGGAGAGAAGAAAGCCGTTTACTAAATTAAATCGATCCTAGGGCAGAGAAGCAGTGAGTACCTTTGACCTGAAGGTAATCTATATTTAGGGATTTTGTTCCTTAATACTGCCTGACCCCAATATTAACTTAAGAGAAGGGGGTGTTCAGACTAGATTTGGGAGAATTTATGTCATCTAAGCTGTCTTGGGTCACGAACAGCAATAGATAAAACGCCCAGGCCAGCTTAAAGTCACACGCGGCAAGCAGAGGCCTTTGCGACCCTCTTCCCACCCCCATCAAGCGCTGGGTCCCCTCACTGACACGATTCACATGCACACCCAGCTCTGTTCTGGAAAATGATAGGAACACCACAGCTTCCCTTTTACCTTAAGCTGCACCAAGAAGTCTGGAGGTGAGAGAGGAAGCGCCCAGGAAACAGCCTCTCCAAAGAGCAGTCCTTACTCTTATGGAGCCCAGTCTTGAAAAGCTCTGAAGCAAGACTCTGGAAGACCCATTAGCATTACCGTTCCTTGTATACCAAGGGGCAAATGCCCAATTTGCATCATAATTTGAAGCCCAACTCTTGGCAAGTTTGGGTCTTGTTAGTCACACAAAAGTAAAAACTGAAGCTAATTCGAAATAGTCATAATACCTACCACTCGCACTGTCAACCTCTAAAGAGGAAACCGACTCTATAAAGGAGAGTTTTAGGTGTACTCTATTGCATTATTTTAGATTTGATACTCAGAAAACAATGTGCAGCATCTTTCTTTAAAAGCCATTCAGAATGGCTTCACAAGACCTTAAGCAAAACTACTCTTCTGAAGGCTCACCTGGGCTTCACTGGTGACCTCGTGAACGGAACATTCCAGCTTAGCAATGCAGTCAGCACAGCTGGGACGTGTCACGGTTGGTGAGGTATATAAGCCTCATCCAAGCGCTACCTGATTTTTTCTTTCTTTGGCACGAAGAGACTCAGCGACTCATCAGAAGTTTCTTTATCAAACCCCCTCCCTCTTCACTTGCCACACTCTGAGGTAAAAATCTCGAATGCCAGAAAGTCTGTAAAGCACTCACCCTTATGTTATCATCTGTCTCCACAGCGGCCTGGAGTTTTCCATTAACGCTGAATGTGCAGAAGAAGCCGTTTTCGTAGAATATGACACAATGACCCTCTCTTGAAGCCTGAATGAGTTTTGGTTTCAGGCAGTTTTCAGGACCCTCCAAAGTCCTTAACAAGTCTCCATTCATGGAATGTATGAGACATGGTCCTTCTGAGAAAAGAGAAGAAACAAAAGACACAATTCATTTTTGTAATGAGAACAGACGTGTGATCTGAATCTCGAGCACAGATGAAACCGGATTATAATACCATATTACAGTTGTAGAAAGCCTTCAAAATTATGCATCTTATATGTTATTTGTAAAATTTCCTCTGCATGCTTGCTAGATCTCACCTTTCACTTGAGAGAGGAGAACGCTGAGTCATATACATTCAAGTTCACTCCTCCTCAAGATACAAAGTTACTTTATGAAATTCATTATTCCTAGAGGTGACTAAAAACTCGAGGAATTCAGAAAGGAACAGGACAAATTTCAAATCCTAGAAGAGCTTCCAGAAAGGCTGGGCTTCAGTCCTACATGGGCCCCTTTCCCCTATCTCACCAGGGTCCTGACGGCCCTGGGATCCTCGTCAGGGCAGCTTTTGAAGGCCTAAGTGTCCCTCTCTCTCACTGCTTGCTACTGTACAATGAAAGAAGGTCTGTGGTAGTCCACCTTCTCACCACCCCCTCCCCAGATGAATTCAGAGATCCTTTTACCACTTCTTGAAAACTGAGTCTACTTCCTAGCTGCTCCCCAAAGCAAACAGTACCACCCACCACCCCTAGCATCTCAGGCTGACAATCAGGCCGAGATGCTTGAGGAAGACGGGAACTGCTTGCGTGATGAGCAGGTTCTAAGAGGTGTGAGTCTGACAAAAGGAGTAAAGGAGTACATATGCCTTACTGCTCTCCAGGCTAAATCACCTGGGGCTGCATGGAATCGTTACCTGTTGCCCACAGGACTCCTAACAGCATGCCCTTTAAAAATGAGGCTCTCAGCTGTTTCTTGACCACTCAGTAAATTTACATTTTTATTGTTCTCAAATACATCCAGGCAGTCTTTGCTTTGCACAGTTCCAGTAGGTGTCAATTTCAGTTATCAGAGTAACTGTGCACAGTACACACTTCGTGGCTAGTTCTTCAGTACACAACTATGTAAACAACAGATGTGCACCGTGATTGGTGACCAACCACATCGCTGCTTTCAAAGTTGGTCAGTGAGTGGCCACTGTGTGTCTGTTACTCAGTTCATGCACAGACAGCAAACTAAGAAAAGTTGTGTTGCCTCCTTGTCTCCAGTGATACACCTATGTGACATTTCGCAAGAATGGACACAGAGGGTACTGGCCAACAAAGATGAAACTGCGGTGAGGAAATGAAGTGATCAAACTGCAAGCGAGGAGAAGGAGCGGACTGTGGGAACGCCGACACTGCTCAGACAGTGTCGGTCCGCGGCCAGCGGAAACCAGTCAAGGTGAACTTACTGACATAAATTAGGAAAGTGGTCGTAACAAAAATGGTGATGTCCCAGAAAAAGTGATGCCGGCAAAACCTTCACATTAAAGGAACCCTCGGGGATAAAGCACAGAAGATAAAATGTGGAAGCTGATTCAGAGGAGTATGACAACTAGTCAAGGTGTGGAAAACTTAAGTTACACAAAGAGAAGGCAGCAAGCACTGTTCGAAGTGCTCTTGATAAGGTCCTCACAAAGAAATAATTTAATTCCCAATGCTTCTAATGTTTTACATTACAGTGTACTAAGTAAATGAGTTTTACTATTTTTTCGTGTCCATATATATGTGTGTATGTAAAGAATATTTAAAGTCCGTGGACCAATCAAAATTTTCCATTGATTATTAAAATCATTTTGCATGGTTTCAGCTTGCATGGTCATTTTTTGGTCCCACACCACCATGGAAAGCTAAGACAGCCTGTAATATGGTAGGTTCATTTTACATACCTAATTTGGATCACGTGTATTATAATCTAAGAACTCAGGTTAGCTCAGGATAGATGGAATTATTGGCTCTAACAAGGCAAAAATTCCAGCTGGTATAGAATTTTTGCTATAGGTATTACTATTTCATTGTTTTGACCAAATGAAATTTTAAACACAATCTTTTGAATATTTAATAAATCTTGTTAGCTAGACTAAATATTATATAGTTTAAGACACAGATAAAGTTACTCAAATATTCTAGGCTTCCCCACCAGATAAGCCTAAAACACATGAGATCACTGTGTTCAGACCCTGGCTTAGGGCACAGGGACAGAGAGGTGGATAGACTTATGATGGAATAAGCAATGGAATGGAAACGGCCCTGTTCCTAGTCAGATCCTGATTTGCTGCGTGTGTTCTTGGAAAGCTCACTTAGTATCTTTGACTTAAATATACGATGATGCTACGAGGACAAAGCTCCAGGCAAGACCAGCTTACGTATCTTTCCACTCCATTCTTGGTGCTGTTCTGGCTCCTGCTTAGTCCTGAGATTTGGAAGTTAAAACAGACTGGGTCAGGAGTGTCCACTCAGGTATGAGATGGAAGCCAGTGCTGCCAAAGTCCAGAACAATGAACAAATGTACAAAGATACCCCTTGTTCCTGCCGCTCTCTTTAGAGCAATGCTGTGAAAAAGATGCTTCTGCAGTGATGGAAATGTTCTCATCTGTGCTGTCTACCATGGTAGCCACCAGTCACATGTGAATACCGAGCACCTGAAATGCGCCTAGTGCCACCATGGAACTGAATTTTTAATTTTATTTCATGAGTTAAACAGCCTTACGTGGCTAATGGCTACCAAAACAAATGGCACAGCTTTTGAGAAAAAGGTTCCAAATTCATCTTTGGTAATCTGTTACTAGAAGGCACCCAACAGTACATACATTGTATAAAAGTGCCAGACTTACCTTTAGAACCACTTAACACCAGGCCCAACTCGGCGCAGACTGCGGCACAAGTGATCTCATCATCATGGCCTGTCAAAATGGCCCGAGGAGTGGTGGTCCCACCTTTGGGGAAAAAACAGATTAAAAAAAAACCAAATTATTTCAAGGCCATGTAGGGGTTACCTCCCTCTACTCAGATTAAATAATCAACAACTTGTTCTTAAATTCCCATAATGCCTACATCTCTTATTTACAGCTTGGGAATGTGTCTAAAAATCCTATCTTGGGACTAGATCCAAACTATATGCTATAGTTGGAAGATCACATGTTATTAAACTTCTAATCCTTATGTGATTATCAAGCAGCAATGGTTGAACCTCAGTAAAATAAGTCAGAAATCTAGATTTGAAAATGTCTCAGGCACCTTCGAAATAAAAATATAAGCCCCTTGATTAGATGATTAGTGGATGGGTGAACATAAAAGTAGGGACTTAGGCTTGATTCACATTTCATAGAAAGGCAGCTGCCTTCTCTCTTGCCTCCCCCACACCTCCTCCGTGGGCCACTGAGACCCCTTGTCATAATTAAGAGTCTGAAGTAGGATTCACGATATCTCAAAGTAGCCCCCTCTCTTACATATCCATTATCTTTACTAAGCTCATATATTTTCCTGATACACAAATCTTAGTATATTTCTCTATGATTCACTCAAAGACAAAAGAGGAAAAAAATGATTCTTACATGTAGTTCTACTAATACTGCTTGAAAATTAGGGGAGGGGCTCGAGGGAGGACAGAGGAGAAATACCTGAACAATGGGAGCTGTTTCAGAGCACTTTCACAGGTAGAAGTCATTCTGTATCTTGTTTCAAACTAGAGAGAAAACTGGCCAAAAAGGAACCCAAACCATGAACGGGCCCAGTAATTACAAGTGAAATGATAATCGGCTTGATTTCTGCTGAGCCACAAGGATAAACTGAATTCCATATTTAGCATGAAGGTTACTATTTTAAGACTAAATTAGTCCTCTACTTTTATAGTCACTAAGGACAAAGACACAAAAAGCTTTTTCATAAATGAGACTGGAGAGCAAGATTCTGTTAGCATTCTGATTTCCTTGATTTGGATTGGTTTTATAGTATTATTGATAAATGACACTGTGTAATCCAAAAGGGGGAAATTTGCCTGGAAAGTAGGTCACTACCACCAGCTGTGGAACTCTGAGGAAAAGAATAACTTGTCATCCTAACCCCAGACACTTGGCTATCCTTGGAACAAGTCACACACTCTGCGGAGGGAGATCTGATAGGTTGGAGGAAATCCAATGGAAACCCACTGTCCTTGGAAAAGCCAAAAAAAATTAACTTCAGTGGTTTTTACGACGGGCCAATGGGTTCTCTGAAATTTCATGCAAAATATATGTGCATGCCTATGTTTTGCTGGGGCGGGGGTGGGGAGCTGGAGAGGAGAGGAAGTAAAATAGGTTTTCTGAATGCACAGAGATCCACGACCAAAAACAGGTGAGGAGCCTCAACTATGAAGAGAGGGGCCTAGTTTCTGTGCCTCCAGATCCACTCCACCTGGAGCCTGCAGTTACTTGTCTGGCCATTACATGTAATTATTGCAATGTGTTACTGGAGTACATGATGCACAGCTGTGTTTCCGCAGTGTCCTTCATGGCTTTTGGTGAGTGAAATTTAAGTCGAGTGGCATCAGAGCAAACTATGCATCACGTTGGTGATGCTCCACGCTGCCTGACTCTGGAAAGGGGCCTACCTGCTTGGTGACAAGGGGAGACCTCAAAAGACCTACGAAAACACAAAGGGGTAAGGGGAACAAGGGGGTCGTGGTTTCATTTGATTCAGTTTAAAAACTTCTTTGGGGAGAGAAACCTACCTTAATTACAAAGTTTACTTGATATTTCCCAAACAAGAAAGAATTTGTCATAAGAGCATTTTTTTCCTTGAAAAATATACAAATTTGGGGAAATTTTTAAGAAAAGAAACACATAGTTTAAGCCAATCTGAACTACTTAATTTTCTGTTAGAGATAAGCCTTGCCACAAAAATTAGAAATAGATGTTATATTCTTAAAAGTTACCAATACTTTACCCTCATTCATGGTTTCACCCTTTCCCAAGATGCTCTATGTTCCACAAAAATACCATGTTATTTTTGAAATGATGTCTATATCTACTGGCAACTTTTTTTAAAATCGTGAATTAAAATCATTAAGATCTAAGGCATACATTTTCAGTGATTTTTTCCTTTTCTGTTTTAGTTAAGTTACCATTTTATGGGAGAGTGAGATTTGTGTTTTAACTTGAATTGTCTTGGAATTCCTCAGTGGAAAATGAAGGTTTGAAGGAAAACTGATGGCAACTAAAAATCTTAAGTGTAAGCCAAAGAAAACACAGGACAGATGGATAATGGCAGACCCAGAGGACATTGTCACTTAAGCATGTCAGTACTAACTTTTTCTTTTCTAGATCTAAGAAAATTTTCTCAGGAACATGGGGAGGAAGTGATAATATTGCTATCAACTGTATTTCTTTAATATAAAAGAACTGAAATACTGAGAATTTTCTATGACTATAAAGTTAGAGTTTAGTAAGCCTCACTTTAATCCCATAAAGAGGGTTAACATATAAGCATTGTTTCTGTAAACTCAGTTAAAATTTTTATAAATATGCTTTACTTGCAAAATACTAGTTTCCAATAATCCACATTATACCAGTCATTTTTCCCTCCACAAGTCAGGAAGAGACATACACGTACGTAGACTGTAATTTCAAAAGTGAAAAAAGATTTCTTCTTTTCCTAGGGCTTGCTCTCTAAATAAAGAACTGTTTAATGCTAGGACTTTGGCTTCAAAGTTTGGCACAATGTTCTCTAACCCAGGAAGCAACTAGTTTCCAATAATCCACATTATACCAGTCATTTTTCCCTCCACAAGTCAGGAAGAGACATACACGTACGTAGACTGTAATTTCAAAAGTGAAAAAAGATTTCTTCTTTTCCTAGGGCTTGCTCTCTAAATAAAGAACTGTTTAATGCTAGGACTTTGGCTTCAAAGTTTGGCTCAATGTTCTCTAACCCAGGAAGCAGGTTAGACACTTCAGGAAA